TCTCTCTGCCCATTTACAAAATGATTAATTGTTTTATAAGAAAGGATGAAATGTGAAAATGTTTTAGTATGCTTTGGCGCAACGTAAAGTGTCAGCATTAAGCGCCGAATTGGAAGAATGCAAAGTTGCGCTTGATAATGCAATTCGTGCGCGTAAACAAGCTGAAATTGACCTTGAAGAAGCTAATGTAAAAGTTTTCTTTAAAAAAATATTTTTAATTGATAAAAATTAAAGGAAAAAAAATTCTTAAGTGATTCAAATTTTTTTTGTTTTAACTCTATATATTATTTTAAATGAAATAATTATCAGTTGTGTATAGATTTTAATTAAAATTATAAAATTACATTTTCTTGGTATCTCTCTTTTTCTTTACCATTAAAATTTAATATTTTTTTAAGGGTCGCATAACTGATTTGGTATCAGTTAATAATAATTTAACAGCAATTAAAAATAAATTGGAAACTGAACTATCTACGGCACAAGCTGATTTGGATGAAGCAACAAAAGAATTGCATGCAGCAGATGAGCGTGCTAATCGTGCATTAGCTGATGCAGCTCGTGCAGTTGAGCAGTTGCATGAGGAGCAGGAACATTCCATGAAAATTGATGCTCTCAGGAAATCATTGGAAGAGCAGGTAAAATTTTAATTTGAAAAATTTTTTAAACTATTTAAATTTTATGAAATGAATTTAATGTAAGTTTCATTGTATCATTGGGCATAATAATAAATTTAAATTAAGCTTATCTTTCAAAATTTCATTAAAGTAATTTTAAGGCTTTTTTTTTTGTCTTTGACTTCATTAAAAAAAAAAAAAAAAAAAACACTTATGAATTTTATTTTCATTTTCAGGTGAAACAATTGCAAGTGCAAATTCAGGAAGCTGAAGCGGCAGCTTTATTGGGTGGTAAACGTGTAATTGCTAAACTTGAAACACGTATACGTGATTTGGAAACTGCATTAGATGAAGAAACACGTCGACATAAGGAAACGCAAGGTGCGCTTCGAAAGAAAGATCGACGTATCAAAGAGGTTCAAATGCAAGTTGATGAAGAGCATAAGATGTTTGTGATGGCGCAAGATACGGCTGATAGACTTCTTGAAAAACTTAATATTCAAAAGAGGCAACTTGGAGAAGCTGTAAGTTTATAAAAAAATTAAACTTAAAAACTGAAAATTTAAATTCCTACTATTATTATTATTATTCATAAAAAAGAATCATTCTATTTTTTTTTTTTTTTAATTTATAAACTTTCATTTATTTTATTTAAAAAATAACTGAAAATAAAAACGTCGAATAATTTCTTTTTTTTTTTTTTTTTTTTTTTTTTTTTATGAACAATAATTTAGACTTAATTTTTTCCTTTTTTGACAAATAATAATTCAAATTTATTTTCTTTTTTCTCTTTTTGTACAGTTTAACCACTACGTAACATATATTATTATTATTGAATGAAAAAAAAAAAAAACAAGAAGAAATGAGAAGAAAAAAACGAAAAAATTTTAACAAATTGTTTTTTCTTTAATTTACTAATTTTGTTTACCAAAGAAAAAAAATAAATTTTTTTTTTTGAAATGAAATAATAAATATAATTAATTAATTTTTAAGGAATCATTAACAATGGCTAATCTTCAACGAGTACGTCGATATCAACGTGAATTAGAGGATGCTGAAGGACGAGCTGATCAAGCTGAAAGCTCATTACATCTCATTCGTGCAAAGCATCGTTCATCAGTTGTTACGGGCAAAAATGCTTCAGCGTCAAAAATTTACGTTCTCGAAGATGAGCAATAGAGATAATTAATTAATTAATTAATTACGTTAATTGTCAGCAATGAGAAGAAAAAAAAAAAAAAAAAAAAGGTTTAACAACAATTTTTCAATTTACTAACTTTACTATTTGCTGTCTACTACTCTTACTATTACTACTTCTATTCTTTCTTTTTTATTACTTATACTATTACTTTTATCACTAATACTTTCACAAATAATGATGACAATGATAACAATGATAATGATAATGAAGAAGAAGAAAGGATAGAACTATTGTTAATTAAGAAAAGAAAAAAATAGAAATGCAATGAAAGTGAAATTTCTGATATAATTTTTAATTTTCCTTCTTTTTCCCTCTCCTCTTTTTTGTTTTATTTTTTCATTCCAAAAATAAAAATTTTCTATAAATTTTAATGAAAAAATAAAAGTGAATGAAAGAAAAAAAATTACTTTTATTCTGCTTTTTTCCCTAATTTCTAAAAAATAAAAGTGAAATTTATTTTTAGCGAGAAATATTTCAGTATTCTTCCTTTTTTCTTCCTTCATTTCTTTAGTCATTAATTAGTTAATTAATTACCATAAATACATAGAGAGAAAAGGGAGAGAGAGAGAGAGAGAGAGAGAGAAAGATTTCTTTTTGACCAATTATTTTCGATTTGTTACTACTGTCCGCAATTTCTTCTTTCTTTTCTTGTACGCCAATATCTTGTCAACCCAAATTTTTTAAATCAATAATTACCTTTTTTTTTTTGATTGCATAAATTAAAAAAAAGCAAAAAAAAAAAAACAAAAAACAAAAAAAAATAAACAAAAAAAAAAACAAAGGAACGAAATAATCGATCATAATATTTGCTAATTTTTCAACATTTGATTATTGACACTAATTTTTCAAAAGTTAATTCAAAACGTTTTGATCCATTATTCGTACATATACGTATTGAATTTTAGATCCGTTTATTTTAAATTTTTCTTTTTTATTTTTTTTTTTTCTGAATGAAAATTTCATTTTTTTCTTTCTCTCTATTTCTTTTTTATCCTTTTTATCATCAATTAAATTAATTAATAATTTGTCTTTTCACTATCTATTAGAAATTTAGCATGTTTTTGCTTACACATACCTACACGTCACGTATACGTACACGTAAATAAATAGATACACATACACGTGCAAACATACATAATACACATTCAAGTTGTTGTGTGTTATTAAACATTGAATTACTTTAAAAAAATAAAAAAACTCTTCTCGAAAAAAAAAAAAAAAAGAAAAATCGATATTGCTATACTTAATCATTGCAACAATTCTTTCTCCTAAAATTATCACATTTTTCTCTTTTTTTTTTTAGTATATGTATGCAATTAAACGACCCTATTTGCTCAAACTGCCAATTAATTTATAAAACAGATAATTATTATCGATTTAATTGCTAGCATAGAGGAAAAATTATAATTTAGATTAAAATGAATCTTTGAATCTATAAATTTTACTTATTCAAATGAATTGTCTCAAATTTATTATTGTTAATTTTAGAAAAAGAAAAGAATAGAGTATATGAAGAAGAGAGGAAGAGAGATGGTGAAAGAATAATTGTAATGTGAGACATTTTAAAATTTGATCCATTAAAATATTTTACAGTATTTTCATTCTTATTTTATTTGAAATATTTATTCATTAGCAAATATTTCATCAAATTTTACAACAAATAATTAGCTGTGCTTCCACTGCAATTAATTATTATTGTTTATTATTATTAATATTAATGCTATTATTATTATTATATTATTATTATTATTATTATTATTATTATTATTATTATTATTATTATTATCATTATTACCTTATTTTTGATGCAAAAGTAAATTTTCTCTTATTTGATTTTAATTTTTAATTTTTCATCGAATTATCAGTTTATCATCATTTTCTTTCTTAATTTCTCTCAACTCACTCTTCAAATCTACGTAAATTTCTTCTTTTCTTTTCTTTGCTTCTTAAAACTTAACATTTTCTTTTTTTTTTTTTTTTTTTTCGTATTTGCTAATATTCATTTAATGTGAAAAGTGTGAAAAAGAAAATTTTTTTCTTTTACAAGTTTAAATTTAAATTTAAATTCTTCTTCTTCATTTATACTACAAAGAATATAAAACATTCAGTCGTATACTGTTAGGCAAAGCGGTTTTTATTAATTATGGTTGCAATTGATAAACATTTAGAAACAACAATTAGTTATCATTGAAATATATCAATTCCGGTAAAATTTATAAAATCCGGTCTATTTCAATGAAAAATGAAATGGATGAGGTAAAATTAAAATATCAACAAGTTGGTAATAAACTAACAATGAGTATTTATCAGTGTTGATAATTGATCATTGCATCGAAATTGTGTTTTCAGATATTCTATTGTTTATTAACCGAACAACAACAACAAAAAAAAAAAATGAAAGGGTTACATACAAATTGAATTATTGATATTTTGAGAGAAAAATTAAATTGTAAATGAAAAAAAATTTAAGAATGAATTGAAGAAATTTGCATTATAACAAAAATACTGAAAGAATAAATTTGTTCTATAAAACAAATCTGATATAATTAATAATTAATATGCAAATTTTGATATGCAAAAAAAAAAAAGTAAGAATAAAACAAATGTAAAAAATGATTCATAAAGAATGGATAGTATTATAAAGAAAACATTAGCTCTTTTATGGAATCTAAGAAAAAAAAAAATGAGCAAATTTTTCTCCTTCATTGAAATTTGATAATAAAATTGATATTTGATGCTAAACGAAGAAGAATTTCAAAAGTTTTCTAAAAATAATTCAGAATAAAAAAAGGTTGAAATTTGTTTGAAAAACAAAGGAAAGGAATACCATTTGAAAAATTTTCCCTAAGAAACAAATATGAAAACTAATGATTTCATATAAAAAAATATAATTAAGAACGAAAAAAAATCAAATTTTAAAGAAAAAAAAAAATTATTGAATTCGATTTATTAAAATTAATTATTGAACTTGATCTAAAAAAAAGGAAAAAAAAGGTTGAAATTTTAGAATGGGTATAATTTTTTAAAATAATCTCTTCCTTAAGCTATAAATATTTTGCTAAAATATTAATGCATTTTTTTTGGATGATTTTTTTCTTCTTAAATGAAAAATTAATTTACAAAAAAAAAATTAATTAATTTAATTTATAAAATAAAAAAACTTTGTAAAAAAAATACAAATAAAATTATCCAATTGAAAGTGAATTAATATATAAAAAATTTAATAATGGTACCAGTATTGTCATAAGAATAAATGGATAAATTGGTTTAAACGATACAACAATGGTTGAATTACTGCTGCTTGCAGTTGCAGTTGCAGTATTGCATGCATCATTTTTGCATGAACAAACCTAAAAATTAAAAAAAAAATTTTATGCATTATGCATAATATTGCAATAAAATTTGTGCATTTAATTCAATAAATTAATTTTTAATCGAATAAATCAAATTAATTCCTATTTTTTTCTCCTTTTTTTGTAAAGATTGAAAACACAATTTTCTTTTTCTTTATATGAGGTATTTTAAAAAAAAAAAAAAAAAAAAAAAAAAAACTTACAAAGTTACATACTTAATTTCAAAGTAAGTAATTCTATTTAAAATATAATTCTTTTTGTAATAGTTAATAATAAAATAGAATGAATGATATGCATTAATATTTAATATTTTATACTTAAATTAATATTGTATTAATTGTCATCGTTTCTTCGTCTTTTTAGATTCTTATTTAAATGAAAAATAAAAAAAAAAAAGCTAATTATAAGTGTGTTATAATCAGTTATTATCAATAATCTTATCAATAATTTTTTATAATTAAATTAATATTTAATTGATATCAATAATACTAACTTGTACATGCTCATCGGTTTGAATTGATGGCCAAATTTGTGATAATGGCAATTTAAGACATATTGCCTCGGAATGAAGAAAGTCTACTTCGGGTGGATGATTTTGAATTGAATTAAAAATTTTCTCTGTACAACCACGAATGTATGTGTATGGTGTATTTACTGATTGTACACCTAAAAGTATAATTTTAAAATTTATTTCTCATTAAAATTTCATTAATTTTTTTTTACAAAGAAATTCAAATTGTAAAGCTTTCTGGTTTAAAATTTGAAATCAAAAATTCAAAAAAAAAGTGGTCTAAAATAATTTTCAAAAAACATTATTTTAAAAATTTATTCCAAAATTGAAAAATTATTTTTGAATGGAAAATAAGAAAAGAAAAAATAGTTGCAATAATTATCAAAAATACTACGATGCATAAATATTATCGTTTATTTGTCAAAAAGAAAGAAATAAAAATCTTAAAATTTAAAATTTTTTAAAATCATACAATCATATAATTATCAAAAAGAAAAATTGTATAAATTGTTTATATTATTTCATTTTATTTACGATATAATATTAACCTCCAAAGTATTGTGGTTCCATAATGGAAATACATGTTGAAGCGCAGTTTGTTAATGGCGCAAATTCTTTCAATTGTTCAAAGCTATCGCAAAATTCACCGAAACGTGGAATACTTGAAGAGTGTCGGAAAGCCGTAAAACGTTTAAATAATGGTTCATAATCAGTTGAAGCACATGTAAAACATCTGGAAATAATGAAGTAAAGAACAGAAGATTTTTTTATAATTTCAAATTTCAAAAATATTTTTTAAAAGAAAAAAAGGATTGGAACATTTATTGTGTAAATAATTAAACAATGGGAAAAAAAAAACTAATATTACTTAACAATATGAAAAAAGAATTTTTTTTTTTAAAAGCAATTATTTTAAATTAAATGGTGAGGATGAAAGATTACTTTTTCATATATTATCAATTATTTCATTTTGTTTTTTTTTTTTTTTTTTTCTTCAAGAATTAAAATACTTACTTAATTGTATAACTTATTGTTTGCATCGAAAATAATAATAGTAGAATGATAATTTGATACAATTGCATGATAATTGATGGTCAACAATAACGATCATTTCAAGTTGAATTAATCAATTAATATACAGTTTGTAAGACTGAATATTTTACAGACTTACGTTAAAGTTTTATATAAATATTTGCATAAATAAAAAAAAAAAAATAAAGAAATGCCTAATAATATGTAGCCTGAAAAAAGAAAAAAACAATCGTTTTAAAACACTTTTTAAATAAATTCAAAAAAGAAAAAAATGAGATGAAATATTTTGCTAAAAAAGGTTAAAAAATATTTAAAAATTATTTCTCAGCTAAACATTTATAATATTCTTCTTTACAAAGAATAAAACGATGTATGATATACTCATACATAATGCTTGAAATAGAAGTTATTAGTTAGTTAATTAATTAATTGGCACTGATAGATATGAAATATTTATAACTTTTTTTTCCATTTCTTAATCAGTTTTAATCCCTAAATATTAACTCTAATTTCTGGAAATTGGTTAAGTTGCAATAATTTTCATATTCTTTCATTTAAATTTTTTTTTTTTTTTTTTGACTCAAACTATTTGTTCTTCTAAGGTTTATCAGATATAATTTATCAAATTATCTTAGCATCAAAAAATTAGAAATAATTTTTTTTTCATCAGAAAAATAAAATATTCAGCCAAAATTATCTTAATTAGCTGAAAATAATTAATAGATTTTTTTCAATTTTATCTTTCTAATTATATCAATTTCAGTTACTTGGAACAATTATTAATGTAGCAAAACTTTACTTACTACTATTTTCATTAAATTATCAAAATTAATTTAAATTTAAGATATAATTTTTATAGCTATCATTCATGAATAAAAAGTAAGAATAAAGATCAAAGGATAATACAATAAATAATTATTATTAAAGATTTGATATGAATATTTGTGCTATATGACAAAGTCTTTCACTTCTTTGCTTCTTAAATGAATAATTAATTAAAATGAAATAGAATGATTATAATGAATTCTTATAAAATTTGTACACTTACTATTACTATGACACACACAGACCTAAAATAATAATAATAATAATAATAGTATTTATTATTATTCTTATTTTAGTGATAGTAATAATAATGAATAATAAATAATGGAAACAATCATCTTTATCTAACTATGTATATATAATCAGAAGTTCATTACTTTTTAATTATGTAAAGATGAATGTCTTTCCACGATAACTTTTTTGGTTGAAACAATCAGGAAGGAGAAAGAATAAATTTGTGAATGAATTACGAATATTAATAACAGCGTTAAACGACGTGAAGCGACGTGAAGCGTTTAAATTTGATAGCGTCAAATTTAATCAATGTAGTGAGTAGAATTTAATGTAAAACTTAAAATCAAAAATTAACATAAAAATTTAACGTCCAAAATATATCCTATAAAAAATATGATTTTTTAAATAGCTTGTTTAGGTGTTGTAGCTGATAATTGATAAACATGCAAAAAAAAACAAATGTTAATGAGCAGTTGTTAAATAATGGTAAACTATCAAAAGAAATTTTGATAAGAATAATAAATTTTTTGTGATTATAGTATATATTTGATAAGAGTTCGACAATTAAGGAAGCAGTAATATGATAAATGATATCATATCAGTTTCTAATTTTGCATTATCAAAAGTAGTACGATGAAAGGTTTTGATTATTTTGAAAATGGATTTAACCAAAAATACTGCAAATCATTTATGAATTCATTTCTTAATAATAATTTTGACCACATAAATATGTAAACTTTAATAAAAGCGAAACATATTTCATTAATTTAATTTAATTATGAAAAATTTTTTGAAAATATTTATTATTTGTTACATTGGTATATTCTGCAAATCAAAATTATGAAAATATCATCGAAATTATATCATTTGAATTAGAAAAAGAATGAAGAAAATGTATATTTATTACAAATTAGCAAATGATGTGACAAAGTTAGCTCAAATATTAATACTAAAACATACAAACCAAATGTCCAACTAAAAGCTTTTTAAATCTAAAATCAATGAAATACTTCGAATTTGTTTATTGTAGTAAGCAAATATTTTTGATTATAATCACTACTTTCACTCAAAAATTATTATTTGAATTTAAGAAGAAAAAAAAAAAAAAAAAAAGGAAAGAAAGGATTAAAAAGAAACGGCACGAAAAGAAAAATGAATTTAAATATAAATTGGAGTATTTGAGTTAAATATTAATTTAAATGAGTTAAAATGATAGTTGTTTATATGCATGAAATTTTGATACATTATAAAATATTTGATAATTATGAGCATATATATATAGAAAAAAAATTTTTTTTTTTATAATCTTGAAATTTTGAGTTTTCATTAGTCTTACAAAGGATGAAAAATGAACAGAAAGAGAGAGAGAGAAGAGAGAAAGAAAGAGAATAAAAAGGAGAAAGAAAAGGAAAAAATATTAATAAATGTCGGATAAAAAATTCTTGAAAATTGAAACAAGCTTAAATGATGCAGTAAGTCAGATGAGAGAGACAAATTAGTTTGATTAACGGTTGATAATTTTCAAAAAACAATTATAAAAGAGCTATAAGCATGCGAAACTAATAGTAGAATTAATCTTATCATAACTTTGTAACATTATTACTTATTCTTATACTAATAATATTTGTATACAAAATCATTTCATTTCATTCTTTTTTCTTACTTATTCATCAATTGGATGAGAAGAGAGGAAGAGAAAAGAAAGAAGAAAGTAAAAGTTAGAATTTTAATTAAATATAATTTTTAATGGAATGCATAAAATGTGACAAAATATAATTATTAACAATATTTGTTTTAGTGAAAAAATTAAAATAGTGATTTTCAGTAAGTTTTTTATGTTTTTGTTTTATTTTTTTTTTTTTTTTTTTTAATAACTTCTTTGACGCATAATTTTGCTGTTATTGTGTTAATTATTTTAAGATATTTTCAAACAAATTATAGTTATTATATTTTATAAATGAGTAATTTTGCTTAACAATTGAAATATATTTATTGTTGCAACATTTATAAAATGAAATTTAATAAAATTAAAGCACAAATTTTAAGTATTATTTTCAACAAACAACAAAGTAAAAGTTGTGAAACAATGAACTGATAGCACTGATAAGATAAAGAATTTCATGCTGTGATAATGACAAGTTATGATAACTTGTTTTATCATAAATTATTCATGTATTATGATAGGCAAGAATAGCTTTGATATTTTATAATAGAATAAGTAGCGCTGATAGTGAGGAAAAGTTATAATAAAACAGATGACAGTTATAATAAAGATAGCTTACAACAAAACAAATGATGTGATAAGGATAAGATAAGATAAGAAATAAATATAATAGTCCAAGGACAAATCATGATAAAACAGACATTAGTATGATAAGATAAAGAAAAATTACAATAGGACAAATAATAGGTATTATGCTATAACTTACAATGCAATAAAATAATAATACTGCTGATAAGATAAGGATAAATTATGATAAAGCAAATGATAGGATGGATTAAAACAAATTAATATTTCAATAACTGAGCTACTATCATTACTGTTTTTTTTTTTTTGATAGAAAATTTTTTATAAAAAAAAGAAAGAATATGATGAATTATCATCGATATTATTAGTTATATGATATTGTCACCAATACTTAAATTTTATTTTGTCTTCTTTTTGACATTTATTCTAAAAATTAAAAGAATATAGATGGAAGAGGATAGAAAAATATTTCAAATTTATGATTAGCTGCAAATTTTGCATCACAAATGACAGTGTAACAAAATGTCATCTCAAATTTTTTTTTGTTGTCGCCTAGCAGACGGATAATATTTTCATTACATTTTTCTTGCAATAAAAATTTTGCATTTCTCATTTTCATTTTTTTTCTTAAAACTAAAAAAGCAAATATTTTCAATATTGGATATTTCAAATATTTGTAAAAAAAAAAAGGAAGGATTTAATTAAGCAGTACAAACTATGTTGTTTGTGCATTAATGCTTTTAAATTTTAATTTATCAAATTTTTTTTTTCTAATATAATTAATTCTATTGATAATGTAGCAAATTGATATGTAGTAGAAATTTAAAATATAAAATGAAATGCGAAAAAAAAAAGAAATGAATTATTTAAAAAGTAATATTATTTTGACAGCATTGATAATTTCTTCTCTTTTTTTTTTCTTTTGTTTTCCATTTGAAATTTAGGAAGGAAACATTGTAAAAGAATATGAAAAAGAAAAGAAAAAGACTGGATGGAACATTTTTGACTAGATGATGTTTACTTAAAAAGGCACTTTAAGCTGATAATAGCGGTATTGGTGGATGAGATTGGTTGGAAGACAACTCGTTTGATGGATTTTTAGTTAAATTTAGTGTTAAACTGATTTCTCTTTCTTTCACTTCACCATTCTCTTTTTTTTAAACTTTTTTTTTTTTTGATGTGATTCCATTGGGAACTATTGCTATCCAACTAGACAATTTCGATAAAAGAAAAAAAAAAGTTGGGAAAATGAGTATAAGACGATGCTAAAATGTTATCAAAATTCGGTTGTGTAATTACGAAACTATCAAAATATTGAATCAAAGATTAAAAAATGTTAATAGACAGTAGTAAATTTCTATGTTATCATGACTGGAGCTACCCCTATCATTGTCAATGTCATCATCATCATCATATTATTATTATTATTATTATTATTATTATTATTATTATTATTTTTATCACCGTCACTACCATCATTATCTACTATAATTACCATTGTCTTTATTATCGTCGTCATCATCAATCACATTATCATCCATTATCAATAGCAACGACATCAGTAATGATTTTTGCTGGATGAAAAGGACAGAGAGAGAAAGGAAAGGAAACAAAATCTAATGAAGTCTGAAAGAATGACAAGTTTCTCTATGGTTATTTAACAATGTTAGCTTATCTTTATGCTGCAAAAACGATCAATGT